AGTAAGGATCCCATAGTTTTATTTTAATCTCTGATATCTTATTGGTTTTTACATAAGAAATTTGCTTATACTTCTGAGAAAAATTCTACTTATTTCTTGCACAACATTATTTTAGTATTGTGAAAATTTATTCACTAAACATCCATTTATAAAACTGAGTTATAATTTTCTATTTTATTGCAGAAAACTGTCAAACATTTCAAAATGTAACAAAAAACAGTCCTATGCACCTTTATGCACTCATCGCCTCAGCTTTAACAATTGCCTACTTATATATTATGGTGCACTGATATTCTTCTTTAAATGTTTTTTAAATCTATAGGTTCCCCCATTATCTTTGTTCTCATTAGATTCACTAAGGTATGATTTACTTACGATAAAATCGATACTTAAAATGTTAATTCCTATAAAATGTGTCAAACCCCTCCATCCATATATTACTACTATAATGAAACTATAAACTATTTCCAGCAACTCACAAATTTTCTTTGTGATCCATTTACTAAATCCCATCAGCTCCCCAGCCCCTGGCAACAACTAATCTGACTTCTGTCCCTGTGGTTTTGCCTTTCCTAAAATATCAAAGGAAAGAAAACATACAGCATGTAGCCTTTCATGTAGTATAATGCATCTGAGATTCATCATTGTTGTTGTATGTCTCAATAGTTTCTTTTTACTGCTTGAAAGTATTCTTTTGTATAGAATTCCCTGGTTGATAGTCATTTCCAGTTGGGGATATTATAAACAAAGCTACTATAAATTTCCATATACAGATTTTTATATAATCCTGTGCTTTTATTTTGCCATAGTGAATGCCTATGAGTGGGATTTTGGGGTTTATATGGAGGAATATTTATCATTTAACAAGCTATCAAACTGTACTCCAAAATAGAGGTGTTCTAGTCCTGTTAGCAGGCCATATGATTTTCAAATTGCTTCACACCAGGACTTGGTAGTGTCTAGTTTCAATTATTTTATTGTTTTAATATTTCCCAAGTGACTATGCAGTTATCTTTTTCACTATTTAGAATCAAACTAACTGAGAAAGAGCTAGGTTGTTTTTCCCACACCCCAGATTTTTCCTTATTGTGAGATATCATTAGCATGGTTCCCCTCCTGCTCTCTGCATTTTCTGAAACAGTAAATAAATTTAGTGTCTGGAACCCTCCCTGGTGGCGCAATGGGTTAAAGCACAGCACTAAGAAGGTAAAGCCACTTCTGCATGAGTTCGATCCCCGCCCTGGAGGTGACCCACATGGCGCGGCAGACCTTTCCTGACCCGCCCATTGCTCCCCTCAGCAGTGTACACTTATTTTGTTTTTTCCATATGAGCTACTTCTGAAGTAAAGTAATAGTTAATTGAATAGTTAAAGTAATAGTTAATAGCTGACCTTATTGAAATATTCCAGTTTGTAAATGAAGAAGAATGATGAAATTCAGCAGTACCATTTTATACTCTTAATGAATTAATATATTTAGCTAATGGTCTCCAAAGGATGCTAACATCATGCAAAGAGATAAAAAGGATACATAAAAGGCTATGGTTTTTAAAAAGCTTCTTTTATAATTTCACTGAATCCATATTAACATACTTAATAAACAATCCTAATAAGCATGGAAATGCAGAGAGCAGAAATGGGAATAGACATACATACATTCACCTATACACACACACACACATGCACAAGATATTTGACTAATTCTTTCAATATAACCCAAAAAACTCACAGTAAAAAAGTCAAATTATTTAATAGTTAACGATAATAAATATTCAAAACTACAATATGCTGTGTTATCAAATTACGTCTTTTTTTAATATTCAGCATATACTATGCTACTTTTGAACACTGAAAAGCTGAAATGTCACTCATCTGCTTTTTTTGGAATACATCATTATTTTCCTAGTAGGCTGGTTGAAGTAGTAATAACAATTCACAGACACCATAGGAAGGATATTTTACATATTTTCCTCTTCATATAATCTGTACATAGCTGTAGAAATTTTGATGTTTTTTAATATCCAGTTATAGATGAGAAAACTGAGGATCAGAGAGGTTAATTTTTCTTGAGGTCACAAAGTAATTGATTCATATTCCAAATAATGACAGAATGTTCTTTAAAATGACTTTAAAACTGGGCCCTCCCTGGTGCTGCAGGGGCTATAGCACAGTACCATGAAGCTATCAGCAGCCAGGACAGCATGAGTTCGATCTCTGACCAGGTTGGTGACCCACATGGTATGGAAGACCGCTCCTGTATCACCCACTGCTCCCCTCAGCAGTGTATTTCAGTCCATCTACCTTTTCTGCTCCCCAATTTGTCTCTGGTAAATTCTCTCACCCCCGGCACCTCTGGCCTATATCCCAGCTCTTTTATGAATAAATAAATAATTTTTTAAAACTTTGACATTTTAAAATGTTTAAAGAACATTTAAAAACTTTTAATGTTTTTTAAAAAGTGTATTCTTCCTACCTTTTTAAGTTTGAATTAAATTTTCACTTGTTTTGTCAATACACTACTATTTCTATCGCTAACTCCAAATCTTCACACCTTTTTATAGTAGTTTCTTCAACAATGATCTTTACAAAAAATATGCAAGCACTACCTATAAATCATGCAATTTGAATCAAAGTGGATACTGGAATGGGCTACCACAAAATTTCTAATATGAATTAAAGTCTACCAACACAGACTTATTTTTTCATAGATTACATATATAGTGACAAATTATTTGATTAATTGACAATTATTTTAAAGACATTTATAAATGATTGGTTCTTAATATTTATAATCTATAAACTGAAGCATATTCATTTCAAAACATGAAAAACATTTAGATACCTACAACAATATAGATGCTTATGAGGAATATTTTTTACTTCTTAGTCACCTTGGGAAACAAGAGTTACAAATTATTTCCTCACTAAACTGCAATCATACCTTTAAAAAATTCAAATGTGCATTCCACACAAGAGAATGATACACTGATATTAAAATAACATTGATGATTTTAGAGATATTTAGTATCATTAAATATAATAAATGTTTAAATTTTATCATTGTTTTATTTAGAAAACCCCCACAAATTCAGGTTTTCAGGCACATTAACTGCATTGAACCCAGCAAGGTGAGAGCTCCTCCTGCTGGCTTTAAACAAAAGTTGTCTAGTCCCTACCAGAGTACAAAAATACTGTAAGATTGAAGGAAAAAAATCAACATTAACTTCAGTAAAAAAACAATAAAATTTTATTTTAATTTAATGGTTATATTATAACTTTGGCAAGATTAATACCTACTATGTATTTAAGGGCATTCACATAAAAATATAATGTATTTCATATAGTAAGGGATTGAATAAGCCAAAAAATAAAACAGAAGTTGTAGTAGTATGGTGGTATCAAAATAAAGCTCTGAAAATGTTTATTTTGTTTAATAAACAATAATTTTTCACTAGTTTAATAAAATATTTTTAATAATTTCTCATGGAAACATTTTAAAAATTCATGTGTTTCATGAAGCTATCAAATGATAAAGACAAAGTTGATAGCATTGGATTAAGCATGAGAGCAATGAGTAAATTCTCTGTCTTTAATAATTCATGAAGTTTAATAAGCATTCCTTTTAGTAATCTTAAGAAATAATAGTTAAAACAACAAACTTACAGCATAAAATAGAAGACAATCTTTATTCCAACTGCATAATAAAAATGGGAAGAGGCATTATTCATTAAAAAAAAAAAACATAAACAAGAGATCAACCCACTAAGAAAGTAGTCCTTCTTTTAGTCCATATTACTATTTATCTCTAACTTCACTATTTTTATGCTGCTTGACACAGCTTTATTTGTTTCAGCCTCCTAATCATTTCTAAAGCCTACCATTAG